CTTTATTTTGTACATCAGGAAGGGGGGCTAGGGAAGGGTAAGTGGAAGGAGGTGAGGGAGGAATGGGGTACATGCCCCCGATGGGGAGGACTGGGCTGGCTCTGGAGGCTTCTCAGGGTGGAAGCTCTCCTGCAGCCCCCCGATTTCCCCCTCCCCCCAGAAGGCAGCCTGCGGCAAGTGCAGCCGGGGTGATGGCCGAGTGGTGTGATGTTCCGCATGTGGGCACTCAGGGCACTCCAAGCCAGGACTGCTTTGCAAGCGGGGAACCCTGAGAACTGTCTGTCCGGGGTGGGGGTCGGGTCCCTTTAAGCACAGCCCTCGGCTAGCCTGAGGCAGCAGCTCCATGCTCTAAGTCCTCATCTGATGCCCTGCCGGCACTGCTTCCGGCCATCCTTAACCTCTGTTCAGGGTCCACTCTGTGTGGACATGCTAGTTCGAATTAGCAAAATGCTAATTCAAACTAGTTTTTAAGTCTAGCTGCACTAATTCGAATTAGCTTAGTTCGAATTAACTAATTCGAACTAAGTTAGTTCGAATTAGCGCTGTAGTGTAGACATACCCTAAGAGACTTTGCACCCTCTCCCTGCCCAATCAAGACTTGGGGGCAGGGGGAGTATGCAAAGTCTCCTCCCACTCTGCTCCAGTCCTGCAGGGAGCACACTCAGGGCAGGAGGAGACGTTGCATGCTCTTCCCTGGCCCCAAGCCCTGATTGACCTGGGGGCAGGGAATGGGGGGAGTGTGTGAAGTCTTCCCCCACTGCCAGGGGCAGAGGCACCTAGAGCGAACCACTTAATGTGGACATGCTAGTTCGAATTAGCAAAACACTAATTCAAACTAGTTTTTTAGTCTGGATCTGTTAGTTCGAATTAGCTTAGTTCGAATTAACTAATTTGAACTAAGTTAGTTCGAATTAGCGCTGTAGTGTAGACGTACCCTCAGTCACTGGGTGCTGGCGAGCACTCCTATCCATCACAATGAAACAGAATGATGCCACCAGAGTAACAGAGAACATAATTTTGGGGTTGCAATACTACACTGCCTTTGGCAACTTTGCCCCAGGCTCTCCATGTCTGACCCACATGAAAACGGCACTGTTTTCACAGCCACAGAGACAGGGAGAGATTGACTGTAATAGTTCTTCAACTTGAAATCTTTCCCACTCAGAGACCTTCTTCCAACTCAGCAAATTAGCATAGCCTGCAGTGCACCTGCATGTATTAACAGACTATATTATAAACTAACTTGAACTTTACATTTCACAAGCTTTCCCTGTATATCACAAGCTATCATGAGTACAAAGATGATTCTGCTAAATAATTTTGTACTAATTACGCTGCTGCACTATTTTCTGAAATGTCACATGCTGTGGAGAATGCAGATCTTGTGTTGTAGCTGATGCTCATCCTTGCATATAACCCATATGTTGTATGTCTCACCACGAGGCCTGCTCTGGATTGGTGGTGAAGTAGAGAATAAAATGATAGTGAGGGTGGGGGATATTTGGTGTTTTTTTTAATCTCTGACCATCTCACTACAGGGCAAATTGTGTTTTTCTCTATATGTAAAAGCAAACGATACATGATAATAACAAAATTAACAAAATGCTCAGTCTATGCTTGTTGTGGATCCTACAGGTAAATTATCGCGGGCGCTTAGAGAAGCTAGTCAGGATTAGAAATCCTTGGGGTGAAGTGGAATGGACCGGAGCCTGGAGCGATAAGTAGGTTATTATATACTGTTAGTAGATTATTATATACTGTTGGCATCCCTCTCATCACTGTGTTCCATTGTCTTTTTAAAATTAAATTGGTTAGATCTGCAGTTATTAAGCCGCACAGCACATTTGGAAAAGGTGTTAAATCAATTAATGCTTATCAGAAATAGAACAATATGAATAAAGTAGCTATGCTGGCAATTGTTCTGTTCTGGTCACAGGATTTACCTCCTCTATGTGTGGAGGGTTCTCTATGTGTGGAGAGTAGTCTGTATTACTTGCTATGAACAGGGCCAAATAAGTCAGATCCATGTCATTCTGCAATGTGACTTTCCTCATGCCTGTGAGATACTAGTGTAGTACCCAGACAATTTCCATGACCAGAAAACACAACAGGGACAAACTGCTGTGCAACTCCTTTGACAGTGATTGGACTGTAAGACCTAAGATAGGAGTGGGGAACCAAAACAAAAAAATCACACAACAACCAAACCCTTACTGATGTGGCTCCCGACTGAGGAGAAAGACACTCCTACATTCCCTTTGCATACTGGAGCCTAGGGGTGCCCAGGCTAGTAGATTTTTTTTTGTTGTGCTCCAGCCACTCAGGGGAAAGGCAGGAGCAGGGGACTGGAGCGCCAGCACCGGCTCCCCAAAGCTGGTGGGGAGTCCCGTGCCTCAGGGGGCAGATCCAGGCAAGTTGCAGCCCCCTGGCCTTAGATTCCCCACCCCGGCCTAAGACATGACAAGCTCAAAAGACTCTGATTAAGCACCCCAAAGTTTGAATACTCTGTACCTCTCTGATTTGGAAGCTGGTCTTGGAATCTTATGAGAGCAATGGTCCTAACCTTTCTGAGGTAAACATAAGAACATAAGAACGGACTTACTGGGTCAGACCAAAGGTCCATCTAGCCCAGTATCCTGTCTGCCAACAGTGGCCAATACCAGATTCCCCAGAGGGAGGGATCACAACAGGTCATCCTCACGTGATCCCTCCCCTGTCACCCACCTCCGGAGAAAAAGAGGCTATGGATACAATTCCTACCCATCCTGGCTAATAGCCATTGATGGACCTAACCTCCATGAATCTATCTAGCTCTTTTTTGAGCCCTGTTAAAGTTCTAGCCTTCACCGCATCTTCTGGCAAGGAGTTCCACAGGTTGACTGTGCACTGAGTAAAGAAAAACTTCCTTTTGTTTGTTTTAAATCGGCTGCCCATTAATTTCATTTGGTGACCCCTAGTTCTTATATTGTGGGAATAAGTAAATAACATTTCCTTATTCACTTTTTCCATACCAGTCATGATTTTATAGACCTGTATCATATCCCCCCTTAGTCTCCTCTTTTCTAAACTGAAAAGTCCAAGTATTTTTAACCTCTCTTCATATGGTTTTCTTGGGTTTGATCAGACTGGAAATACCTTAAAAATAATTTCTCATGTAGCATTTTGATATATCTGCTTTTCTTCCTGGCCTGTTGAAATGATAACATTGAGATTGTGTGCAACTCTAGCAAAGCTTTAGCATGAATCTTATTTTTATCAAACCTGGTCTGTTTACCCTAAAAGAAGCATACCTCATATAAACCTAGGAGGTCATATACTGATCTCAGTTATACCTTTTTAAATGTGGATCATCTCCATTCAAATCAATGGAGCTATTCCAGATTGACATGAGATAAGATCAGAATCTGGTCCACTGTACAAATAGGATGATAGAGCTGGAATAAGCATTAAATCACTTAGTCCTTCCTCATGACCAGTGCAGGATTTTTTACTGCCATGTATTTTCTAGTGTTCTGTTTCTCCATTCTTGTTTTAAAATGCCCCAAATACTGGAGGTTTCCTCTTTGGAGACTATTAGACATTAGAATAGATCTCATATCAAGAAACATTTCCTGACAGGCTTTTTTAAAAATATCATTCATTAGTCCTAGTGATGTCTGTGCATTCTTGCATCTTGTAGTCATGATTAAAGGTAAGGTTCGTTTGCTGCAAATACAGTTAAATGTAAGGCCTGATTCATTGACCAGATTGTCTAAATAATTTCCAACTATATATGGAGTTAATTTGCATTTTGCACTGTCCTTGAGAAGAGCGAAGGATCCCGTGATTGAAAGAAATATGTACTTTTAGCAGTTGTAACTATAGAAAGATTCCGACTCCCTGAAATTGTTATAAAGTAAAATATAACTACTATACTTATTGCCATTTGTGTTTTGCCTGCAGTGCTCCAGAATGGAATTATGTTGATCCCAAACAAAAACAGGCTCTGGATAAGCAATCGGATGATGGAGAATTTTGGTAAGAATTATTCAGTGGGATTAATTCTTTAGAAACTGTACATGTAGATGCCCTGTTAATCATTCCTTTGGATGGAGGTTGATAAAATACCACTATCCAAAGAGTTAATAACTTGAAGTGTGAGAGGTATTTATAGCTCAGGTTGCATCGATTTACTGGGAGTGAGTGGAAAATCCAGCCCAGTATTTGCTTACATGGGTTAATATTGAATTGATCTTTGTAGAACTCTACCCCAGATCAGAATGACAGCTGTCCACTTTGCACAAATGCAAGCAGCTATGTAAGGTGCAAGGCAGTGGAGGATCAGGGAGAAAGCTCTGTGTCCAGCTGTGATTCAGATTTTCTTTGCTGTGGATTCATTCAGTGGTAATGCACTGATATTGATGGAGTTATGCCTGATTTATGCCAGTGGAAGTGAAATCAGAATCAGTCTGTGAGTGCACTGAATGGTGTCAGTCCCCTAGTAGGTGCATGGACATCTGTCAACAGTGTATCTTGCTCTCCCAGGCAGCTGGCAATGTCTCTGATTATCTTCTATGTAATAATGATATGTATGATATCCCAGTTGGCAACTTGAGTACTAAGGTATGACTCAGCATGAGCAAAGTTGGCACAGTTGAGCCTTTAGTGAATATTAGCCATTGAGAACTGTTGCTTTAGTGGTTGGTGTTCCTAGAAGCCAATTTGAGATTCAAAGTTCAATTAGAATTTCAGTGGTTCTGCCATTTGCTGCCTCATTAGAAAAGGGATCAGTTCACAGTGGGTCTGGCCATGCTCTAAATTCATGAATTCACTGTGGCCTCTTTGTGTTTCTTCGATGTCAGGATGGCATTCTCAGATTTTCAAAGACAGTTCACACGGCTTGAGATCTGCAACTTGACTCCTGACACCCTGACGAGTGACAAAGTCCATAAATGGGGTCTGACCTTGTTCAGTGGTCAGTGGAGACGGGGTTCTACTGCTGGGGGCTGCCAGAACTATCCAGGTAAAGGCTCAGCTGAATCTTGTACGCATGGTGAAGAAATGGATATAATTTCCTCCAGCACAGGTTCCATGTTATATCACTGTTGCAGCATCGGTGTGGATTGTTTCATGGGGTGTTGTTCTAGTGCTTTTATAGTTGGGTCAAAGAGGAGAAGCAAAGATCTGGATTGGATTTAGTCCAGGGTCTAGGCTTAAGGCTGATTCAGGGCTATCGGTTTGGGTTTGATGAAACTGAATCATGTAAACGCTTTCATGAGATTTCAGCCTCAAATGGCAGAAATCTCATGAGGTCAGCTGGTGTTAAGAGATTACCATGATCAGGACTGGTTTTGAATCTTGTGAGAACAGATATTTTCATGAGGTATCTGCCCTCTTGGGCTGCATCTGTACCTGATTCAGAAAATTGGTCCTGACTCCTTTTCTCTCTACTCTGGAACCAGAAGCTTAGAAATGAGTTAAGAGCCAGAAATTCCTTCACTATGTTTTTTACCTATTTTTCACACCTGTTGATATTAACCCAAACCTTCAAAACTTGATTCAGACTCATTTTCTCATCAGCGTTTCTTTCTTCACTTGAGCAGCTAAATCACTGCAGTCTCTTTCCTTTGGGCAGCTTCCCAGTTTGTACCACATGTGCTTCTGACTGGACTAATCTCCAGGGGCTTGTATAGGCCATAATATGGTCACAATTCAACACTGCTGTCAGGCTGTTTCCCACTCTGGCATGATGAATGCAGAAGTGGGGGCCCGCAAGAGCACTCCAAAACCTTGCCTGTATAGGCTTTGGTAAAAAACTTCCCCCCCAAATCCTAATACCCAGATTTTGGGGGATCCGCTGCCACTATCAAGTGCTTTTGAATCCACAAATAGGGATGGACACTTGAAACCAACCCCAGGGGAACTGCAAGCTTTTTTTTCCCCAAAAGAGCTTGAAAAAGAAAAGAGAAAAACAAGCTGCAGTCTGTGGTAGCTGACCCCTCAGTAAGGCATGCAGATACATACAGATAGACCTTCCAGGAAACAAAAATCAACCATTACTGGTTAATTAAAAAAAATAAACAAACTTTTATCATCAAAACAAAACTACAGTTGCAAACATAGTAAAGCTAAAACTTAGTTACAAAGAAAAAAAAAACAGACCACAGTTAACAGCTCAGACATTACTTCCAAATCCCCAAACAAGAGAACAACAAACCCTGATGGACTATCTAAATTTTTCCCTACTTACACATTGTAAGAAGCCAGTTCTTGGAGAGAAAAGTGTCTTCCATCTCCCTTAGTCTTGGAAGAAACTGCTCTGCATCTCAAACAAAGAAACAGGGTATGTCTACACTTGCAGCCTAATTCGAACTAGGGCTGCAAATGTAGGCATTCGGAATTGCAAATCAAGCCTGGGATTTAAATATCACGTGTTTGATTTGCATCTTCCCAGCCAGGTGCCATTTTTGAAATTTACAAGCCCGAAGTAACTGCCCACGTCTACATGCAGTAGTGAAATGGGTATTTGAAATAAAGCCCTAGTCGAACTACCTGTTAAACCTCATTACAGCATAGCTGGGAAAACACGGAGCAATACAATACAATGGGAAGGTTTGACAGATCCTCCCACAAAGGTCTCTGCAAAGGGCTATTTCTATATCTTCATGACAATGATTTCAGCTGCAGTGAAAGCAAAGGCTCTTTCCTTTCTTTTTCCCTTGGGATTTTCTAGCAACATACTGGATCAATCCCCAGTTTAAAATCAGGCTGGATGAGCCAGATGATGATGAGGAAGGAAGTACGAGTAAGCCATGCTGCACTGTGCTGGTGGGCTTGATGCAGAAGAACCGCAGGAGAGTGAAGAAGATGGGGGAATCTCTACTCACTATTGGCTATTCCCTCTATCAGGTATTGTAAGTTCCCTGTAATGGGTTACTTAATACTGTGCTCACTGCAAGAGAGGGGCAACTCTGACTTTTCAGCATCTCATCAGTCAGTTGTGAGATGGTTCAAATCCTTGTTTCATTCATTCCAACCCCCATAGTACGGGAGTGTTCAGATAAATGGTTCGGGGTTTGTGCCATTCTGTATCTAACAGCGTGAGCTGCAGAACTGGAGATGGCTTATTAGCAACAGTCTCAATCAGGTCTTTTCTCTTGCAAAGCCTAAACAGTGTTGGTCCACAGTGGATGGAGATCCCAGAGAAATGGTTCAGTCTTAGGCCCATCCCGCAGTTCCCACTGTTTGCTTGAATTATTTTTCTTTGAATATGCAAATTGTTATAACTTCACTATCTACCATAGTATTCTGTTGGTTTCTGATATTATATAACCCTTGCACCACCACTGTCTGTGTAAACAGTTGTAAAATATACTGTAGGGGACAATCCTGCAGTAATAGGAGATGGGAGTAGGATTTTTCACCTTTGACTTCTCTAAGGCCTTGGAAACAAAACAAAAAATCTGAAATTCTGACAGATACTCTCATTCTTTGCTTTTCTGCTATGATGCCATGAAGTGTAATGTAGACTCCCATGGACAAAGGTCATTAATGGGCACAGCTGAGAGCAAATGCGTATGACTAACTTTTGCTAACGTGGCTTGTGCATTCTGCTTCCTTTATCTTCTTCACGTGTGGTATAGTTTTTATCCAGGGCTGCAAATGTGGCAATGATACAAATTAGCAAGGGCTTTCCCTGGTGCCAAAGTGTTTGTACACACAGTTCTCAGTATTCGCCAGGCCATATCTGTTTGATTCCAAGCAACCCAATCCATTTGCATTCTAGAATTTGCATGTTAAAGAATGGCTCTCTACACTTACCTATCAGTACAGACAGACCAAAGCGCAATCTTTCTGCCATAGTGTATTCCTACTTTGGGAGATATCTCGCTCCCCTGCTCACTTCATGATCTTTTACTTGTTAGGGTAGATTTAGTAACTCTTAACAAATGAACTCTATACCTTGAAAGGAAGGGCTACTAAATCTTCTAATACTCATCCACAACACAAGCTGCCACTGGCACTTCCACCTATGGATTTTATTCCAGCTGAGACTATGGCTAAGAAAGACTTACTCTAGTCAGGAAAATGCCGAGCAGATATGTGTATAGCAAGAAAAAGAAGTGTGCATATCAAAGCTTATCTGCCTGGTAGAACCTCATATAAGTCAGGTCACTGAAGCTAAATGAAAGATAATTACATTAATAACAATTCCTACAATTAAATGCTCAGTTTTATACTCTTACATGGTATGAGGCTAACACCCTCCTGTTTAAACTAGACATAAAAGACATTTTATAAGAGGCAGTTATGAGTGAATTTTTCAAAAGCACTTAAGTAACTTAGGAACACAAGTCCCTTTAAAATTTGTGCTCCCAAATCACTGAGCTGTTTTTGAAAATTATGTCTTATATTCATATGTAAACATTACTTTAGTGCTTTTTAGCTATTTATTAAGGGCTAAATTATTTATTTATTCATCAAGGGCTATATTACACAGATTAAAACTGCCTTGCAAAACTCTATTTATCCATTGGCAAATATCTGTTTTGACTTGTGATTAAAGTATCATATGTTTTTCAGCAGTGTCATGGTAATGATGGGTAAATAGATTTTACACCTGTTCTTGTAAATTTTCAAAAGCATTCTGAGCTCAGCTCTCATTGACTCTGAGTAATAATTTCAAGATTTGGCCAAATGTTTTGTTAATTTTCCTCTGGAACAGTTCTAGCACAGATGGGAATGTTGTGCATGAACTAGAATTGCATCATATGGTTGTAAATAGGGATGAGAGACAAACTACCTGAGTCTATGAAATGTGGCATTAGTTATCATTTCACCCAGCTGACTGCACAAGATGCTGAGTATTATTTCATTATTTCAGTATTTCATTAATAACTTCTCTCTTTTGCAGGTCCCTAAAGAGGTATGTACATTCTATTGGAGACTTCCATCCTGCAGATGGCCACCTTCTGTTTGGATTGAGAGTGTAATACAACTACTGCTTGAAGCATGGTACCTTCAAAATTGACCACAAGCCTTCTGGAAACCTTTGACAGGAATGTTTTTAATTGCTAAATTGGTATTTGAAGACAAACGCTGCATCTTCTGTATAGCCATTTTAAAGGGAACCCTGTCAGGGGTTTCATCCCAGTCAGATTTTGATCTCATTCACACTAATCTAAATATCCACTGACTTCCATTAATCTTAGTATAACTAAGATCAGGACAGGATCAATATGGCTATTAAAAATTATGGCAGAACAGGGTCCATATTGAGTTGGTCAATTGTGTTTTCCTTTCCTGCTTAGCGATAACTCTGCTTATATTATTTAAAGATATTTCAAACTCTGTGGATCCCTCTCTCTTTATAACCTTAGGCAGTGGCCCATATCATCAATGTATCCAATTCCACCTCCCCAGTCCTCAATCAAATGTCAATATTAAGATAAAGAGGCCTTTCATTTCTAAAATAAGGACCACAAAAGGGTATTTGCAGCTAGACAGGGTCATACTCATTACTATAGTGTATCATTTTGCATTGCCAGTTTTGCTGTGTTTTCATCCCCTTTGTTTTTGCCCAATAACATAATGTGCAGCTATGTGCCAATTATCTGCTCTGTTTATAGCTTCAGACAAAAAGGGAAATGGAACTTACACATTGAAAAAATGTTGCATCTGATTTCTTAATTTTTCATTGTAGTGTAGCATAGCTTCAGATTGGATGGGGAGAAACCATCTAGTTGTTTGAATAGTTGATTACATCAAAATCAAATAATTACTTTTAAAAGGAGAAAAGTCATTATATTATCTGCAGTTTACTTTACTATAGCTGTACTGTTTAGGGTTGTTATTGTTAAATATATAATATTTTATATAAGACGTTACAGCTGATCACCCTTCCAAATAAGGTAAGCACATTTGCTGTTATATAGCTTCATAGTCAAGCCAGAAACATTATCAGGATATTTTTATGCACACCCTATGTCAAACATACTCCACCTTTCTTATATTATTGCCTTGATGAGTCACACATTTTGAAGGAAATTTTATGGAGTATAGGTAAGTTGAATGGGGTTTCTAAAGGTATATTTAGCTTTGGAACTTGTTTTAATTTTGATGTTCAGGTATGAGTGGCCAATTTGCTTTTAAAACTATGTAAAATGTAACCAGATTATCATTCTTCGAAATGTTGAGTGGGATTTTCAAAACAACTAGGGGACTAGCCACACATTTCCCACTGAAATTAATTAATGGGAGTTGAATGTCTAAATCCCCTAGTTGTCTTTGAAAACCTCAAGCCATGCTATGCCTTATGAGATAGAAGCTACTTGAAGTTTGCATTGCAGCAGCTCATAATTCACATAACACAGCCAATAAAAATAATATTCTGTTTGTGCTATTGCTGAAGGACATCAGGTATCCATTCAGTTTTGGAGTATGGATACTATAGGAAGCAAGGAGTAGATGATAGGCTGTGAGGCTGCAAGAGATGCAATGTTGACAAACATGGATTCTGAATAAGCTATTTGGTTTGTTCACACTTGTGTCCCTTGTTGAGCATGTTCATAACTGGGGGTTTGTCCTCTTGAATGGTTTGAGCTCATGAATGCCCAACCATGTGAAAACAAGAGTGTTTGCTGTTCACTCTTTTCGTATTTAAAACATGCCAGTGTTCCAATCTGGGAGCAGACACAACAGTGTGTGACTTAAGTGACCAGTCACATGCTGTGAACAGTCAAAGTGAACATCTGAATTTTTACAAATTTATTCAGTTTGTGGCATGTTTGCAAAGACTATTCACAAACAATTCCTGAAAAGAAAAGAAAAATGCAACATTCATGGGACAACTTATTCACAACAAATCATTTGTCCAGCTAAGAGTGCACATGAACATGTTTCTATGTACTATTGTCTAACAGACATTATAGAAACACGTAAAAAGTTTGATCCTGCTAGAGTCAAGCATTGTCCCCTTTCGGTTATGTAGCCTGTTGTGCTGGGTTTGTTTATATATTGATATGGCAGAACATTCGTGCTTGTCTTCTTCATCTGTACTTAGCAGGTAAATTATTTCCAACTACTGTAAAGTTCTGGAGGTGGCTTTTAAACAGTGAAATAGAACAAGGGAAGTTAAGCTTTCTGGTAACTTTATCAAGTCAATTTTTAATAGATTATTATTTTTGCCAGCTGCAAAATCACACGGATGTCCATCTGAGCCGAGATTTCCTCACAAGGCACCGACCAGTAGCCCGGTCTGACACATATGTTAACCTGCGTGAAGTCTCCGGCCGTATCAAATTGCCCCAAGGAGAGTATCTCGTTGTGCCGTCTACATTTGAGCCTTTCAAAGATGGAGAGTTCTGCCTTCGGGTTTTCTCTGAGAAGCAGGCGAAAGCTCAGTATGTATCTTCTTGTCACTGCACCCTCTGCTCAAGGAGGGGCATGCCAGGAAAAAGGTGGAATGTTCCACTTCACATGAGAGACTTGGGAATTGCACCCTAACCTGTCCCTGAACCATTAAGGCACCCAAAGGCTTAAATCAATATAGACACCTTCACCCCTTCCACCAAGGTCCCACCCTGTCCTGATTCTTCCTGCCCCTGCTCTGCCCTGCCTCTTCCAACCTCTGCCCCAGCCCCACCTTGCCTCTTCCTACCCTGTTCCACTCCCTCCCTCAAGTGCGTCCCACCTTAACTTGGCACTGGAGGGGGGTGAGGAGAGGAGCTGATCAGCACAGAGGGGGCACCTATGCACCCACACATAATAGAACAATGGTTTTTCAACTATGTTCTAGTGCACCCACTACTGAACACACCGGCGGTCTGTAGAATAAAAGTTCTCTGTCAAAATGTGCTCTGGGGAAGTGTAAGGACATATGAATAGCTGTACTATGTCAGACTAAGGCCCATTTAGCTCAGTATCTCATCTTCCAACAGTGGCCAATGTCAGATGCCCCAGAGGGAATGAGCAGAGTAGGCAATTATCAAGTGATCCAGCCCCTGTTGTCCATTTGCTTCAGGCAATCAGAGGTTAGGGACACTCAAAGCATGGATTTGCATCCTGACCATCTTGGCTAACAGCCATTGATGGATCTATCCTCCATTAACTTATTCTGTTTTGAACCCTGGTACAGTTTTGACATTCATAACAACCCCTAGTAACAAATACCACAGGCTGACTTTGTGTATTGTGCAGAAGTATTTCCTTGTGTTTGTTTTAAACCTGATGCCTATTAATTTTATTGGGTGACCTTAGTTCTTGTGCTATGTGAAGGAGTAAATAACACGGATGTCTCCATACTGCTCATGATTTTACAGACCTCTATCATATCCCCTTTTAATCATCTTTTCCAAGCTGAAAAGTCCCAGTCTTTTTAACCTCTCTTTATACAGAAGCTGTTCCATACCCTTAATCATTTTTGTTGAGCTTCTCTGTACATTTTCCAGTTCTAATACATCTTTTGGAGATGGGGTGATAAGAACTGCATGCAATATTCAAGGTGTGGGTATATCATGGATTTGTATAGTGACATTGTGATATTTTCTTCCTTATTATCTATCCCTTTCCTAATGGTTTCATACATTCTATTCACTCTTTTGGCTGCCGCTGCCCTTTGAGCAGATGTTTTCAGAGACAGGATAAGAAGTGTGGGGGAGAAGACAGTCTTCAAGCAAGCGTATATATTATAAAAAGTGGCCAGTAGAAGGAAAATATGTGGAGAAGCAGAGAAATCCATCTAAAGGTCCCAAACACAGGTCATCTGATGTACATGACAGCAGTGCTGGATCTAAAAATGTAGTGGTGTTATGTGGGCTGAGGTAGGATTATTGCAAACAGAAAATAACATTTTACCATGTTAGGCACCACAGACCTATTCAAGAATCTATTGCTTTGTAAAGTATTTTATAGGCCAATGCTAGACTGGTAATTTTTTTTTTTCCTCAGGGAAATTGGGGATGTAGTGGCTGCAAAACCATATGAGGTAAATGCCATAGTTAAATCTAAATGAACAGCTTCTTGGGCAAGCAGACATTTGATTTGGGATTTTGTTGCTGTTGGTGTGAGCTGAAATCAGAGTAGCTAACCATCCTCGTGTAAAAACATCCTGAAATTGAAAATCTCCTTTTCTGAATAATCGAGTTTATGGGTTCCATATGCATTTTTGGTGCAAACATTTGCCCATGCAATTCTGTAACTGAGCTGTAGTGCATCAGTTCAGAATACACCCATGCAAGGGCAAGATAATACTGTGGGATACTATGAACCTTTCCATAAAGAGGAAAAATCTCAAAATACATCTCAAAGCAGACCTCCAAGGAATGGTACAATTGCTATGGGCAGGCTCAACATAATCTTCTCTACATTTAGTTTGTGATCCTAACTTGATAACACAAGGGTCCTTCCCAATCAGGGTCTGACTACACAGCAGTTAAACATCGGCAGCAGGCTCAAACCATCTGACTTGTGCTCAGGCTGCAGGGCTGTAAAAGTGCTGTTTAGACATTCAGGCTTGGGCTTGAACTTGAGCCCTGGGACCCTTCAAGATGGGAAGGTCCCAGAGCTCAGGCTTCAATCCAAATCTCAAAAATCAATGCAGCAATTTTACAGCCTGATCCCCGTGAGCCCAGCCCAGCTGAGCAATGCCAGCTGCCAATGTGTTGTGAATCCTTTATTTCAGTGTAGACATACCCTCAGTCTCAGAAAGCAGATGAAGCTGGTCTTCCAAATGGAATGAAACCATTTATTTTGGAAATTATTCTGCTTTGCAATTTCAGACAGATCCACTCATTGCCTGGCACCTGAGTCACCACATTATTGTTTATCTCTTCCCTTTAGCCTCAAGTTGATGACAAGAGCATAGACAACGAGTTCAGGAGCTTGTTTCAGAAGCTCTCTGGAGAGGTGAGTGGAGTAAAAAGAAAAAAAACCAATGGCATCTTGGTACGTGTCGTGTAGCAGGGAGTTAGAAAAGTATTTTGAGTACTTGTTTATCCAGTCTTCCAGAGAACAGAATGGATTTCCCCTTTTATTAACTCGCAGCAACCAATCTGGTCCAGCTTAATGTACCTTACAGTAGACCAGTTCTATTACATCCTTCCTCTTTTGGGGGAAGATTGTGATTCTTTCAAGGGGCTGAATTACTTTAAATGACGGGTGGAAATGAGTGAAATTACTCTGTGGTGAGTGATATAAATTACCTGGGAGATCGGCTATTTGGTGCTAATGGCCATTCAGGCTATATTTCTTGGTTTTGGTTAGAAGTTGCTGGACTCAGGAATCTGTAAGCTGGAGGGTACTGTTGCACTTTCTCCTAATTGCTGCATAGGAAACCTTCGCGTCTGCGGAATCCTGCTGCGCTAACTAGCTTGTAGTTGTCACGTTGGTTTGCTCTTATGGAGCAAATACCTGGGGCCAGTTTGAAGTGTGAAAGCACCATTTTTAGCCATAGAAGCTTGTTTGAGTCATGGTGGGTGAATTGCCATTGGTTCCCTTTCAGTTTCCATAAATCTGGAAAGGCTCAGGTGCATTTCTGGATCTCTTTAGGTGAGGCACAGAGATAGTAGAGCTTACCCTGGGGTTGCTGGTAGAAATGACATTTGTAGTGGGTTGCCATGCTGAGGTACCTGAGATACCAGGCACTTTGCATATGAAGTATGAGGAAATAGTTGTGATGTGTCTCAGGCTTTCTCACAGCACTTTTGTCAGCAAAACCTTGGGCAGGCCGGGTGTGACAAAAATACCCTCTCTCCCCCCCGGAAAACGTTTAATTGATAAAAGTGCTGCGTGGACATTGCAGAAGAGCACCTCCCACTGACCGAGCTACTGCTACTTGATGAGGGTGATTTAGTTATGCTGGCAGGAAAGCTCTCTCCTACCTGCATAGAGCAGCTACCCAGGAGATCTCACAGTGGTGCAGCTGCAGTGGTACAGCTGTGTTACTGGAAGGTCGGTATTGTAGACAAAGCATTCAATTCACAGGTCTTAAAATAGGGGTTAGAAGTGAAATTGCCTATAGGAGTATTGCAATGAATGAACGTACAATGGGTGTATCCTAAAGGTTTATTATGTTATCGTCTGAAATATGTTTATTTTCTGTTCCCAGGATTATGAAATGAGTGCAGATGAACTTCAGACTGTTCTGAACAGGGTGTTAACAAAGAGTAAGTGACATTAGATGTTTCACACCGAGTGAGAGTGATAGGCAGATGCTGCAATAAGACATACACAATCTCTCTTTGATTCACAATGAACTTCTGTGCCATAGTCATTTCTGATAGCTTGTGTACAAGAAATAATGTTAAATGAAAGTTGCTGTGATCGGTAAAGAGTAGTGAATGTTCCTGTAAGATAATTGTCACTTCAAAATAACAGGGCTGGAATGTAGAGTCCAAACAGAGAGGTCAGGGCTTACCCTTGGATCTCATTCACTATGTGTTTCTACACTTGGATCCAGCCTAACAAACTGAACAGGTATTTGTCTGAAATTCATGCCCAGGTAAGACTCCAGAGGTGCCTCTGGCCCTGGGCTGCATGTGGCGTGCCAGCTTTGAAATGTATGAGAGTCTCCAATGGGGGCTCTAGTGCATTTCAAAGCAGCAGCGCCGCATGGAGCCTGGGGTCAGTGGGGGAGTCAACTCAGAGTTGCTGACCCTGGACTCCATGTGGTGCTGCCACTTGGAAATGCTGCAGAGAGCCAGGGTCAGCTGGGAAGTCCCCAGCTGATCCCAGGTTCCGTGGAAATGCTACACAGAGCCTGTGGCCAACTAGGGAGTCTCCAGCTGACCTGGGGCTCCATGTGGCGCTGCCGCTATGAAACGCCATGGCAGTGTTTCAAAGCGGCAATGCCACACTGAGCCCATAGCCCAATAGAGGCAGCAAGGGGGAGGGAAGCAACTAGTTGACTCGACTATCCGATAAGTATTTGCTTATTGGATAGTCAACTAGTCCTTAACATCCTTAGTTCATTATAGTGTATCTTGTGTAACTTACATTGATTGAAAATAGATCACACTTGTTCAGTACAGTCATAGAAGCTCTCTCTTTCTTTACAATAGATGCAACACAGATCTTTGGCAGGGTAGTTTGGGAAAAGTTTCTACTGCAAGTGCCAATGCTGTATATGTTCTGTGGATAAACAGGCCTTTCCTCTTTGCCCTAGTAGCAGATGCTGACTATGGATGGACTGTATTTCTGTGGGCTGCAGAAAATATTTGTCTAAAGTATTTCTGGCTCTGTTTTTTATTTAGGGGCAGACATTAAAACTGATGGATTCAACATAAACACCTGCAGAGAGATGATCAGTCTCTTAGACGTATCCTTTAAATGTCACTTCACTGTTCTCCGAAGTCCCCAGATCTCCCTTGCGAAGAGTTTTGACTAGATAAGGCTAGATTAACACATCCCATTTTCCCAGTGCATCTGTCTTCACTTGCTGTGGGCATAAAACTCAGAAAAGTAGCGCTGCCAGCACAGCAGCAGAGCTGTTAACCCTTTCATGGCCAGACCTTCACCACCCCTATTGTGAGGCTGTTGTCTGTTAATATTTTCTTTAGACATAGCTAGTCTGCTCTGCAGCACAGCACTTGAATACATCTGCCTGAGTACACCTAGTACAACAGTGGGATCTGAGGGCAGATACACAAAGCGCGTTATACACAATGTCAGCTTCTTTCTACTGGGCTGTAGGATCTTCTCCCCTTGCGTGGGATAGTCCTAAAGAAGCAGAGGAAGATCAGAGGAACTGTGAGAGGGGGAAAGGCTGATATGGCGTTGTATGGCCCCATTCTGTTGTATGCATTTTGTGGGAGATCAGCTTCCATGGCCAGAGGGCTAGGATCAGGAGGATGGAGAGGAAGGTACTGAGCATCAGTGAATCTGCACAGCATGTTCCCTTCCCACTAGAGAGTAATTAACAGCTAACACTGAAGAGGGCTCTGGGAAAGTGTACAGGAAGGTGGCTGGCAGGAGACCTGCCACGGTACCATGGCTGGGACAAGAACCATGCTGACAGTGCAGCAGAGGTAGAAGTGACCTACATGAAGAGATGCTATGATCTGGGGGGAGTAGCCATGTTCCAGCAGGGTTCTTGCCCCTAGGAGAAGTGACATTCATCCTCCTGCTTGCCGTATTCTGCAGCCAGGCACCAGCTCCATGACTCCTGCGGGACAGCTCGGGACAAAACACATAACCTTCTGCATGGTTTTCCATAGGAAGGGATGTCTGCAGTCCCATAGGAGGGAGAGAAGGTAACTCATAGGTTCCAAGGCCAGAAAGGACCATTGTGATCATCTAGTCAGATCTCCGGTATAGCACAGGCCACAGAACTTCCCACAAATAATTCCTGGGGCCTGGCCTCATCCAGGCCATGTTTCAGAAGAATCACCCAATCTTGATTTGGACATGGTCAGTGATGGAGACTCCACACAACACTTGTTCCAGGGGTTAATTACTTTAATCATTGCAAATGTACTCCTCATTTCCGGTCTGAATTTATCTGGATTCCACTTCCAGCCCCACTCTTCAACACTTGCAGAACCCCCTTTTAAGTGTTTTCCCAAGTAGACTGTGATCAAGTTACCCCTCAGCCTTAACTTTGTTAAGCTAAACAGACTGAGCTCCTTGAATCTTATCGTTGTGAGGCAGGTTTTCTAATCCTTTAATTGTTCTCCTGGCTCTTCTCTAAATCCTCTCCAATTTATCGACATCCTTCTTGCATTGGGCGGCCAGAACTGGACAGTGGTTACACCAGTGCCAAATACAGAGGTAAAATAACCTCTTTACTTTTACTGGAATGTCCCTGGTTTATGAATGCCACAATCTCCTTAGCTCTATTGGTCACAGTTTCACACTGGGAGTTCCTGTTACCTGAACCCACCACAACTCCAAAACTTTTTTCACAATCTCTGCTGCCCCAGATGGAATCCCTAGCCTGCAAATAAGGCCACCGCTCTTTGTTCCTAGATGCATACTGTTAATTGTTAACTGTATTAAAATGCACAGTTGCTGATGCCTAGTTTATCAAGTGATCCAAATTGCTCTGAATCAGTGACCTGCCATCTTTATTATTTGCCACTGCCCCAATTTTTGTTTCACTTACAAACTGTAATTTAATTCCAAATCTTGTATTAGCTGAAATTTTCTTTTGTTCTTCTTAGCAGTCAGATGTTCTTGGCTCAGCACAGATGTAATCAGCATAGGCCAGGGCAGCCTCTGATCCTAATAGCTAATGAGTGTCTAATGGTCAATCACTTTGTCTATTAAAAAAAGGAGCTGGAAGTAGGGTTTTACTTTTCTCTATATGAAATGGGAGTGTAATCTCATGGGTCTAGTCCCTTTCAACAATTCAATACAGTTCTGTGATAGCCCAAGAACTCTTGGCACACCCTTAACAAAGCAAACTTAAAACTGTGTACTCTCCATAGGGTGGATTACAAATAAACAACAATGTGACTAGTAGACTACATTGCAATGAGTCATTGATTTATATTAGTGCTGGTTACTCTTTCTCTTTGACATGGGTGGAAACTGATGCATTCTGAATTTGAACCAGGCCTTAACATACTTAGACCAACGGGACTGGCACCTTGGGACTTGTAGAATTCAAGATACTTTGGCTGAAGATTCAAAAATATTTGGTAATTAGCTTATTTTATTGTCTCCCTGCCCCCAGCTGTGAAATACAGATTTAAACAGAGATGGGTCCAAACCACCAAGGTCAGGAACAGGTCCCAATTTCCTCTTATGTTTGGAGTTTTGAGCAGGGCTCTAGTACAGATGCATTTCATTCTGACTGATTTAAAGAGACAGTCAATTGTTCTTCCACCACAGCCCCACATGCTATATTTTGTAACGCGTTCTCAGAAGCTTGAACAACTCCCTCTGCTCTGTGATTTCATTCCTCTTTGCTAGGCAAACAGGGATGCACCCCCAACTCATATTTTAATATATCTGAAATGAACATGGCTCTGTTAGTTTGCCGTGTCACATAATTGCTTGTGCACCAAGGTTACTAATACCTGCTTTGGAATAGAGTTTGGTAGTTAACTGCTGCAGCAGAATGCAAGGGACTTATATTCCTTGTTTAGGGATTTTTTAAATATCTCCAAGAAAATGATTTTTTTTACAGAAGATTTAATGTCCAAAAGAATTTCTCCAGAGCCAGTTTAAAGAAGGGCAAAGTTTGGACCTAATCGACTTGATGGTGCCCTTTTAAGATAAACTTTTGGGATGGTACACATTCCAGGCCTGCTCCTGAAAAGTGGAGAGCTCCCTCCTTCCCCACTGCAGCTAGGAGGAAGTGCTCAGCTCTTCACAGGTTGGATACATTCTGATCACCGGCATGCAATCATTAGATGGCCTGCCTTGAAAACATGCCCAAAGAGCAGTTTCCCCTCCAAGCTGCTGGCCAGACTGGATTCTAATTACTCTGCTAGAGATCCCTAGCAGATCAGTTGGCAGTGAGACCTGCCTGTTTCTTTTGAAGTGCTAACCAGAATGGAAGCTGTATATGACGTGTTTGCTGAGTGAGAAGGATATTCCTCAAGGGTCTGTTTGCCACAACCCAACATGTGGATGGGCATGCTGCCAGCCTGCTAGGAATGGTTTCCCAGCAGCCGGGCACACAGTTAGCCATTAGCTAATTGATTTTTTCCTTCAGTTATTAACACTTTTAGAGAGAAGATGCATTGGCTGCCAGTGGCAATGCATCTCCCAACCAATCAGATAGGGCTCCTAACCGTCTAAAGGCAGACTCCATACTTCCTCTTTCTTCTGCTACAGGAGATCTATAAGAAAGTGGACACCGACTATTCTGGTACCATAGATGCCCATGAGATGCGAGATGCCCTCAGAGAAGCAGGTGACTATCCAGCGTAGAAAGCATGCCCTGGTATGGTATTCTGTCATTAAAACAATGAAAATCGTGAGGCATTCTGACAACTCCACTATCCCTTCTGCCTCCCAAATGATTTGTGTCTCTGCAAGCTCTTTCTTGGTGGACTTTCTAAAGGTGGGTCCCTGCACTTTGGATTAGGCTAGCAGACATCACATTAACCTGGGTCTAACTCAACACCAGCCTGTTATGTAGGGAATGGACTCTGCTGCAATTACTGCTGTTTGGCTGGGGCCTCAGGAGTGTAGTAAGTCTTATTAATTAGGTGCTTATCGCAGGAATATAGGCCTAAGGAAATCTGCAGAACAAGGGGAAACCAGGCAGCTTGTCAAGGCTTGGGGAAGGAGAATTATACCTGTCTCCACCATACGCCAATGTACTAGAGAAAGGACAATGCACAGTAGAGCTAATAGAAACCAACAACCTTTCTAAAAGGATTAGCCCATAATCCGTCACAATTCCATGGGCAAGCTACATTAAGAAGTGTTTGGAACTGCTACGGGAGTGATTTCTGTGCTTCCAGGTTTCACTCTCAACAACAAGGTGCAGCACATCATTGCCACCCGCTATGTCAACAGCAAGCTGACCATTGACTTTGACAGCTTTGTGGCCTGCATGATCCGCCTGGAGACCCTCTTCAGTAAGTTCCTCCTCTTACAGCTGCTAAACAGAACTTCTGTGCTTTGTGGGGGAGGGGGAGGTTGTCTAGTGGCTGGTGTTTTTAGTTAGATCAGAGTGCTGAGTGCAGAGCCCTGCACACACGTGTACAAGAGCCAGCAAAACTGGCTCTGCTTCACAATCAATTAGAAAAGGTCCAAAGCTAAAGTGGGAAGAATTCAATCCAGATCAAAACCTCAATAATCTTTCTTTTAGACAATAACCTTGGGCTAACTTGTGGTGCACTTACCCTGGAAAAATCTCCCACTCATGCATACAGGCTACTGGCTTCAATGAGATTATTTGGCTACATCTACACTACAAGTTTTCTCGGCAAAAAATATGCTAATAAGGGACTCATTTGTATGAGACATGATCTCATTTGCATATTTCCTGCCAATCCGTTTTTTTTGCTAGGGTTTTTGTGCAAAAACAAGCAGTGTGGACATTTTCTTTTTGTGCAAAAACCCTTTTCCCCCAAGATTGGTAAGGATCTTGAAATGAAAACGTTCACACTGCTTGTTTTTGCACAAAAACCCTAGCAAAAAACCGGATCGGCAGAAAATATGCAAACGAGATCATGATTCATACAAATGAGTCCCTCATTAGTATATTTTTTGTCGAGAAAACTCATAGTGTAGACGTTGCCTACGTGTTAGTAAACGCCCAGAGAAATGAGTAAGACTTGTGCAATCTAACTGTAAGTTAGCACCTATTGCCACATTTGTAAAGGTACCAGGCCCTTGAAAGTTTAGCTGGGTGCTTACTGAGATTTTCAAAGGGAGTTAGGTGCCCAAGCTGTCTTGAAAATCTCCTTGGGCACCTATCTGCATCTTTGGGCATTTCATATCTTTAAAACTCTCTCTCCCTCTCAGCTTTGTGAGACATAACTTTTTAACCCTCAAAGCCCCTCCACTAAGTGGAGAAAGGAAGGCCCAGAGAGGTTAGGAGACTTGACTAAAGCCAACCAGCAAGCCACTGGCCAGACCTGGGAATAGGAGATAGGAATCCTTAGCTCAGCCAACCAAATGGCTTTCCACCCTGGCACCCCCTTTCCTCAGTTCTCTAGTCCACACTAGGGATGTAATAGTGTAGTTGATTAATCGATAAGCAAAAGCTTATAGATTAATACTGTAGACTACATGCATTTCCCTCTCTCCCTGCCAGTAAATTTTTTAGCAGGCTGGCCAGCAGCCTGGCTCAGCCCTGGCTTGTGACGGGTTCGAGACCTACCCCTGCTGCAGCTCTTCATTTAAAGTGTATTAGGAGCTGGGCGGACAGGCAGCCTGGCTCAGTCCTGGCTCATGCTGGGTTTAGGACCTACCCCTGTTTCAGCTCTGCATTTCAAGTATATTAAAAGCCAGGCAGGCAGGCGGCCCGGCTCAGTTCTGGCTCATGCCAGGTCTGGGAGCTCAGACCCCCGACTAAGCAGGGACCATTGCCACCCCACGCTGCTGCCTCTTTCTCAGAAGCAGCAGCACAGGGTGACAGACAGCCTGTCCGCAAGGGGAGCTGGTTTTTAAACTGGCTCCTCTCGTGGACCAGCTCCCACTTGGCACCCTGCACTGCTGCCTCTTATACAGTGGCTGCTGGCCCCACCCGGGGGACTACAGAATAGTTGACTAACTGATAAAATGTCATGAGATTACTCGACTATTCAATTAACCAATACTTAACTTCTCTCGTCCACACTGAATCTAGTTGCACCAATGAGTTCTGAGAATAGCACAACTTTCGAAGGGGAAGGTGAAAGCTGCTCTGATAAAAATAAGAAGTGGCCCAAATCTTCACCTGAAAGTCCAACCAAAACCAAACCAACTTCTCTAACTTGGTCAAAGGATTTCTGGGTGCCATTTATCTCAACTGAATCTCCTAATCAGGGCTGGCCCATGCTGTTTTGGTGCCCTGGGCCTGGGTGCACGGTGCTGCTCCCGGGCGCATGCGCGGGCCCGCTCTCCCAGGGTGTGCAGGCCTGCCCCCCGGGGCGCACGGCGCAT